TATCACGGCCAGCTAGAAAAGTCATGAAGGGCCTTGAAAGTCAAAAAGATTGAGAACCACTGCTTTAAATGTCTGTGTCTGATCTAAGATGCAAAAGCCATTGTGCTGCTGCAATACTAACCATAAATATAGTGAGTCAACTCATACATCAGCTAAAATTACCCACAATTATTTAATATTTCATAACAAGAAGTTCCAATGTGATTCAAGCTGAGCTCTCAGCAGGCAGTTGAGTGCTCATCTTACTATTCTCTTCAACCCTAGAGAAGTGCCTTCAGTCACATCTTGAGAGTAGACCTCCATTGAAACTTAAAGGCTCAGCATGGGGGAGGTTGTCATGGCAACAATGCAAAATGGTAATGACTGGGAGGGGAAGATTGTACCCTGTAATTCTGCTATCATGCAATGACATCATTTTTCAACTCGAAATTAGCTGAATCCATCGACTTATTTTGCTAGTAAATTCTGTTCAAGACACAATCATGATGATATGTAAATGTGGACAAAATTTCATTTTGTACAGGCTTATTGCAATATAGGAATATTATTTTTAACCATACAGCTGCCTTTCAGATAATTGCTGTTCACCCACCTTCCCAAACATCTACTAAAAACATATTATCACCTCAGGGCTGCAGTATACGGTTGGGTTTAGAATAAACCCGACTGCTTAAACAAGATTAGCAGGAGGCAATTAGTGTAATCGATTAAAGCGGCGCTTACAGGATGTGAGTGAGAGATGATCATTGTGTCAAACCATCAACACATTTGCCATAGATTATCTACTACAGGGAGAAATCCACATAGATGCGGCAATCATGTTGAAGCAGAAGGTGATGATGGTAATGATGCCCCCAAGGGTGTGTTTCACACTTTGCCTGTCACCTCGTATCACGAACACTCAACCTTTACTTCCAGACATAAGCTCCCCCTATGAAGCTGTGCTGAACAAAGGTGTTGCTATCAGAACTGGATTTACTTTCTGACTTTTATGCAAACTGTAAAAAACAGTAATTAGAGGGGGGGGGAGAAAATACCTTTCTACTTCTGTGAGCTTCTCTTTTTTGCTCATAAAATAAAAACTATGAAAAGAAGAAAATAAGAAACGATATTATATACTGTAACATACATAATACTATACTGTCGTTCAAAGTTTGGGATCAGTAAGAATTTAAAAATTTTTTAAAGAAGTCTCTCATGCTCATCAAGGCTTAATTTATTTGATCAAAAATACATAAAAACAGTAATATTGTGAAATATTACTGCAATTTAAAATAATGGTTTTCTATTTGAATATGCTTTAAAATACGATTTATTTCTATGATGCAAAGATGACTTTACTCTAGTCTTCAGTGTCACGTGATCCTACAGAAATCATTTTAATATGCTGATTTATTATCAATGTTGAAAACGGTTGTGCTGCTTAATATATATAAATATATATACAGTACATATATATATTTATAGAACCTGTGATACTTTTTTCAGGATTCTTTAATGAATATAAAGTTAAAAAGAACAGTATTTATTTAAAATAGAAATATTTTCTAACAATACGAGTCTTTACTATCACTTTTTATCTATTTAACACATCCTTGCTGAATAAAAGTATTAATTTCTTTCCAAAAAAAAGAAAACAAAATTTTGACTCCTAACTTTTGAATGGTAGTGTACAGGATATTGTAATAAAATATTTTCAAATTATATATGCCTTTATTGTCACTTTTGATCAAAGTAATTCATCTTTGCTGAATAAAAGTATTATTTTCTTAATAAATAAATAAATAAACAAACAAACAACACTATATATACATAAAATGTTGTCACATGTGGTAATTAAAGTTTGATCTCACCTGGAGCACTTGATGAGACTGGTGTCCAATGGTAAGGTTTTGGTTCAAACTATCCATGACCAGCGTGTTTTCACATACTCGCTCCGGGACATGAGGATCCTGCCAGAGGCAAGAACAGTGTTGAAACAACCTTGCAAATCTTATACAATTAATCACGTTTATAATATCTTTTACTCAGTTTTGTTAGTAAATTCTTATTCCTATAACAGCACGAACATTCTGCAATATAACTTTATTTGTGTTACATGGCATGATTTGGACAGACTTGAGGGTGAGTAAATGATGACGGTTTTAATTTTGTGGCAGAACTATCTATTTGTAGGGCCACGGTACATACTTGCATACGTGTATATATTCTCTCTAACTGGTGTCTTGTAGTGTAGACGACTGCTAAGCCAGTCAAGTACACACAATAGTGTGAGTGGGAGAAATGCAGCCTCCGGCATTCCCCGTCTGCATCCTCAGCTGACTCACTGCCCTGATGAATAGAGTCTGCACTCACACAAATGGCATTTGCAAACAGATAATGCTGATTTACCACCTTGGCCCAACTCACACTGACTTCTCACTGGCCGCAAGCTGCCTTTTCCTCTGAGACCTGACACATACGCACACACACACACACACACACACACACACACACAAAAATATGTAATATTAAAAGGTAGATAAAAGAATTATAATTTAAACCAAAGTAACGTGAGCATGTAATCTGATCTATAAACTGTAACATCTGTGTACATGCTGTTCGCAAAAACAGGAAATCTCTGAATTATTCAACTTTGTGCATGGACTGAGATCAGTGCCTGTCTTTTACAAGCCTTCTTTGCAGAGTATTTCACTTCAAAGGACTCGCTGGAAGTATCCATTACCTGCTAACCTCTGAGCTCTGGACATCAGTACACACACACACACACACACACACACACACACACACACACAGACCTTCCTGCCCTGACATTCCTGTGCTCTTACTCAACATGCTGTCTACGAGTTCAACCACAGCACAATATACAATCACTCCAATGGTTCAATTTGTACATTTACCTGTTGGCTAGTCACAAAGAATTCTGTTATGTACACTCATAAAAACAAAGGTTATTTATTGGCATTGAATTCCATGCAGAGTCTTTAACATCCACAGCACCGTTCCATTGCACAGAAAAAATGAATTCAATGAAACCCAAACCTATAATAGCATAATCTGATGTAATTATTGTAATTACTCTGTGAGATTCAATGATAGCACCTTTTTATAGAGATTGGAGAAGAAGGTTGAAGAATTTAAATTGCTTGACACTGAATCAAATTTTACACAAATCGAACCTTTTAATACTTGAAACCACTTCACCTGAACAAAATGACCCTTGTATAATGCAAAAACGGGATCTACAAAGTATTGCTTGCACATTAAATTCTGATTTGATTTTAAAAATTTAGCAACCAGCAGAGAGAGCATGTATCCATCAAAAAATAAAAAAAATGAGATAAGTAATAACCGGCTTGCTGTTTAAAATGTGAAATAGGAAATAGATTATACACATTTACCTTATTCCAGTTGTCCAACAAAAACAACGCCTCCATTTCTGAGCATACTGCTATATCAAAGTCCCTGATGTCTTAGGAAATGTAACTAGGCAATGTTCCGCCTCTCTAGTCCCTCTACATCTTCATTTAGAAGATACATGTTCCTATTCAAAACAGCACGGACCTGCCTGTACATGCTGCTTTGAGCTAAATCCCACATTCCTGCCTGTCGGCTACAGCCCTGATCACAGATGTTAGTTCGCTGGTCAATAAAAAAATTGATCTCCATAAAAGAAAAAAGAATTACAGTGAAGAGAGGAAGTTTAAGAAGTTGAAGCAAACACAAGAGAGTAATAATGGAAGTATATGTACAGTAGGTCATCTGGGAAATATACAAAAACTGACTGAAAGGCAGACAGACAGAAGATCTGACAGATTGAGATTGGGTTTGATCACAATCCAAAACTCTGTTATTGCCACATGCCTCTTAGCTCATCAAAGCCGATTTGCACGATATAAGGGGCAATGAGTCACATTTCCCTACTAGTGTCTTTATACAGAGTTTGATTCTGTTCCAAGTGCACACGCTCACACATTATCATACCCACCAATGTGAAGGACAGCACATTTTTCCAGAATGCAGCATAAAGGCTGTTATTGTCTCTCTTCAGCGTGCTCAAATGGGAGAGACGCTCTCTGTGGATGCTGCACCTTGCCTGAAGAGTACTATGGAAAAAGATGAAGAGATGTGGTCGAGTGAACGCATGTAGGTCTGGTTCGTTGCTCAGTGACCCCAAACTAGCTCACATGCAATTAAGTGAAGAGACGAATCATATGTTCAGAGCCACACCTCTAAAATTATTTTCCTAAATGATGCATAAGTGTATGTATTCTGTATGTGTATGTCTGTTTTCCAGGGGAAAAAAATAAAACATCCTTAAAAATCAGTTTACCTGAGAAGCAAAATTGCATAAGACTCGTTTTATACAGAGAATATATCTTGAATAATCTTGAATATTATATAGTTTCTAATTTGTATTACTATTATCATCATCATCATCATCATCATCATTACCATCATCATCAAATTTATTGAGATTTATGCTTAAAACAAATTTTTTTTTAAATCAATGGGGTAAAAAAAACTAAATTCAATATATAGTAATTCAAAAAAGTTATTTTGTTATCATATATCATATCATATCATATCATAGTTTCTGCCTCAATTATTATTATTATTATTATTATTATATATCCTCATCAGATTTAATTAGGTTAAGCCATAAAACAATGTTTTAAATGTCAGTAGGGTAATAAAAATTAACTTAGTTCAAAATATATATAAAAAAAAAAAGTTTCCAAGTAAATTTATCTTGTTTAAAGAATGTCTAGAATTTTTTCTTGGTAAACAAGATAAACACACTGATTAAGATTTTTTTTTTTCTTCAGTAGAAGTGTTCTTTCAAACTTTTCAGGCCCTGATGCTTGCATTCATAATGCTTAAGTGTCAAGTTTAGAGAAGAGATATTGGATCGTTCTGAAAGACGGATGACACAACATTCAGCTTTTCTAAATGACAGCACTGTGGGCTGGAAGGAGGCCATGGATTAATGGTAGATACATGTCTGAATGGAAAGACATGATGGTGGTTTTTGGAATGTAGATGCTCCACCACATGCGATCCACTCTCTCATATTGCTGAGGTTCATTTAAAGGATTTTCCTTCAAGATAATATTGCGTATGCCGAGGAAATGCTGAAGGAGAAGAAATTTGTAATTGGTTTATAAAAGAGTGAAGAAATGTGGTACAAGACACTCGAAGTGAGTCCTAGCTGTTGAAGTGTAATAACAGCTTTCTAGTTCCTGCCTTGAGGCGCAGTGGATTATTCATCAGTGGAATTTCAGCTGAGCTTGAAAGTACAGGGACAGAGATGGAGAGAGAGATTATGAGCTTTTTCAATAGTGTGTTATCTTCTGCAAGCTGCCTGCTCAGAGACCTCCACCTGGTGGTGAAGCACTGCTCTAAAACTGTACTTCTTAAAATTGGGTCTGTTCTGATATAGGGGTATATGGACAGATGGAGAAAACAATGCTGATTGCAACATAATAACATTTAATGATATAAATATAAACGTATTAGTAAATAATAATAATAATAATAATAATAATAATTTTTATATAATTTAATTTGATTATATTTTATCAAATTATTCCAATTGTTCCAAACCTGTAAGACCTTTGTTTATATTCGGAACACAAATTAAGATATTTTTGATGAAATACGAGAGCTTTCTGACCGAGAGCTGAAATCCAAGAGCTTTTCTTTCTGACTTTATTCAACAATTTTATTTGTTATTAGTCATTATTTTTGTTTTCTACGTGCACAAAAAGTATAATACTTTTAATTTTTGGATGAACTATACCTTTAAGGTAATTTATAAGCTAGTTTGCTCCAAAAGAATGACAAAATTTGCAGAAATAAACAATAAAAACTTACAAGATATAAACATTCAAAACTTACATTTTCTCACTTATTGGTTATTTTAAAAAGGGGAGGAGCTGCTCTATATGTCCCGCCTTGTCTTCCTGTTCAACAGTTTGCTGTCATTGAACTTGTTTCCACGACATGTGATCACAATGCCTAAGGCCTCTTCATATCCAAAGATGTCCAAACTTCAGAGGACGTTATTGAAGAAAACAACACACATGCTGAAGATCAGTGCGTGCACCAGGCCGCGTATTTGCTGCAGCATACAGACACATAGGCCTATCTAGACAGGAAATTGAGGGGCAGATGATAAAATACTGCCATTTCTGTGAGTGTATGATTATGGCCACAGACAAACACATGGATGACTAAATACCTTCTTCCATTTTTAGACCTGGCGACAAAAATGTTGCAAAGTAGAGGAATGTGAAAATGAACTGGGCTCCTGAACGTGACTTAAAATAGCAATGAGTTGGTAGAAATTCTACTACCAAGTATAATTATGTAACATTGATTCTCAAGAGGTCTAAACATGGCCATTGAATAAAAAAGCAAACTTGATGAACCTTGCTATTTATAGATCCTATCCTATCCCATGTCTACAGGCTATGGACCTAATAAAATGCTAACCAGAACTTTGTTTTTAGCTTCAAAGCTAATCTTTCTAATACACTTACTTAGTATTGTGGGATGCTTTTAAGTGCTGTGCAAAACCTCTGGTATGCTGGTTTCTCCATCACTCATTGTTTTAAGAATACCAGAGGCTTGGTTACAAGCTAATAACCGGCAGACCACCTGCACAGTGAAGACACATGGGCAAAGGTCACCAGAACACCATCAAAGGCTCTTGTGTGCATGCTCATGTCAACGTCAGTGAAATATATAACCCTGAGATAAGAATCCAAGAGCAAAAAAGAGTCTATTGTTGACAACCAGCCAGAGGAGCTGGGGTTATACAGGCCTACACTGGAGAAAAATTCAGCTGAAGATGACAGTTGTGTTGTGGAACATGGTAGCTGGTTTCTAGCGGGTCTAAGATGGTCATTAGCTAGTTGTTAACAGGTTGACCATTGACCATGTTCAA